AAAATCTAAAGGTGTTTCCATGGTTGAGAAGTGTCTTGTGTTCTTATTACCTGTTGTTTTTGTTGTTAGGTGCCATCAAGTCGGTTCTGACTCATGACAACTCTGCACAGCAGAATGAAACGCCTGCTGGTCCTCTGAAATCCTCAAATCATTGTTAAGCTTGAGGTCTTTGCTGCTGCCACTATGCCAGTCTATCTTATTGGGGTGGTCTTCCTCTTTTTCGCTTACCCTCCACTTTACCTATCATAATGTCCTTCTCTGGTAGCATAGTGGTTACGAATCAGGCTGCGAGCCACAAGGTCAGCAGTTCGAAACTGCCAGCTGTTCTGTGGTAGAAAGATGAGGCTTTCTGCTCCCGTAAAGATTTATAGCCTCAGAAACCCTGTACAGGGTCGCTATGTGTTGGAACCGACTCCACGGCACATAACAACAACAACAACAATGTCCTTCTCCAGGGATTGGTCCCTCCTGATAATATGTCTAAAGTATGAGAGATGAAGCCATCCTGATTTCCAAGAAACATTCTGGCTGAACTTATTCCAACACAGATATGTTCTTCTAGAAGTCCATGATATTTTTAATATTTTCTCCAATACCATAACTCAAATGCATAATTTGTTCTATGGTATTCCTTATTCATTGTCTAACTTTCACATATGTATGAGGTGACTGAACATATCATGGTTTGTGTCAGGTGCATCTTAGTCCTGAAGCTGATACCCCTTTGTCCTTGAACACTTTAAAAGGTCTTGTGCAGCAGATTTGCCTGCTGCTTCCATGAGTGTTAGTGGATCCAAGCAAAATGAAGTTTTTGACAACTTTAATCTTTCCTCCATTTATCGTTATATATTTATTGGTTCAATATATTTTTCTCTACATTGAGTTACAACCCATACTGAAGGCTATGGTCTTTGGTTGTCATTGATAAAGTATTTTAAATCCTTTCAGCAAGCAAGGTTGTATCATCTGCATATCACGTTGTCAACGAGTCTTCCTCCAATCCTGATGCCACTTTTCTTCTTCATATAATCCAGCTTCTCGGATTATTTGCTCAACATAAAAATTAAATAAGCATATTGAAAGAATACAGCCCCAGTGGACATCTTTCCTTATTATTTTAAACCATTCAGTGTCCCTATGCTCTGTTTGATTAACTGCCTCTTGGTCTATGTACAGGTTCCTCATGAGCACAATTACGTGTTCCCAACTTTTGCATTCCAGTCACCAGTAATCTTGATTGCATGTTTGATCCATTTTAGATTGAAGAAGTTGGTAGAATTCTTCTATTTCATCTTCACTGGCTTTAGTTCCAACTCATAGTGACCCCATATAGGGTTTCTGAGGTTTTTTAGAAATCTTTGTAGGAGCAGAAAGCCTCATCTTTCCCAAGGAGCGACTGACTGGTGGTTCATTGTCCAGTGCTTATCATATGGAGCCACTGTGCTCCATTTTGCCTGTAGAATCCTTTGCTATTTCAAGTCGAGGCTTGCTGTTTTTCTTCAATTTTTTCAGCTTGAGAAATGCTGAGCACATTCTCCCTAACTCCAGGTGTTTGCACATTTTTTATAATATATGATTTCCATCTTCTTGACTGACCTTTGAAATTTTTTATTCAGCTCTTTTACCTCATTTCTTCCATTTGCTTTAGCATCTTTGCATTTTCTGACACCATTCTGATCTTTTCCTTATTTTTTGTCTTCTTAATGACCTTTTGCTCTCTTCCTGTATGATGTTTTTGATGTCATCCCATAACTTCTGGTCTTCAGTTATTAGTGTCTAATGCACCACATCTGTTTGGAGATGACTTTTAAATTCAGTTGAGATATGTCCTAGGTGACATTTTGACTCTCATTTTTCTTCAGCTTCAGCCTGAACTTGTATTTGAGCAATTGATGATCTGTTCCACAATCTGCTCCTGGTTTTGTTTTGGCTGTTGATACACAGTTGACAATAATGAAGGGAATGAAGCAAAGATTTCAGGACCTTTGTTTGCTGGTGGGGCACAATTCAAGATGAGGAGAAACAGCTGTAACCATTAATATTTGAAACATGGAATGCATGAAGTGTGAATATAGGAAAATTGAAAATTGTCAAAAATGAAATGGAACACATAAAGATCTATACCCTAGGCATTAGTGAGCTGAAATGGGCTGGTATTGACTATTCTGAATCTGACAGTCATAAAGTTTACTATGTCTGGAATGACTAATACTCAAAGAAGTTTTTTTCAATCAATATTAGGGAATTTCTGAATACCCTAGCAGAGAAGCATGTCTGATGTTCAAATTACACTTTTATTTCAAGCACTTTTTATACTACTTGATAAGGTTAATCATGTACTACATGTAAAGGAGGCTACAATTCTAACAATCACACTAAATGAAAGGTGGATGTGATGCCCAATAAACATCAAAGATTTCATTTTACTTGGATCCAAAAGCAATGCAAGTTACCACAGCACCTACAATCATTTAAATAAGGTAGTGTGTGTTTTTAGGTTTCAGAGTGGCTTATCCGTGCAAAACTTAGTTTGGAGAAGTGACCCAAGGTCTTTGCCATTTTTCTATTATAGTAGTCATTTTATTGGTGCATAAAAACTCATTCAATCCCTCAGCAAATATTTAACTCTTATGTGCAAGGCATTTTTTTAGGCTTTGGGAGTATTTGTTGTTGTTGTCAGGTGCCATCGAGTCGGAACCGACTCATAGCGACCCTATGCACAGCAGAA